CTCCACCAGGCAGATTCTGGACCATGAAACTGGTCGCACAGCACATCATGTGACCCTGCAAACAAAAGGGTGTTTCCTCGCCTCCACTACTTTTCAGCTCCCTGGAAATCCAAGCCCTGAGAATAGTGACTTCCTAGCCACAGAAGGACTCTGAATCAAGGTCAGGTGTCATCCTCAGGCCCGAACACCTGCTCAGACCTTCTGAGACAGGGCTCAGCCCAGCACACGAGGAGGGACCCAGCACACCCAGAGCCTGGCCTTTTCCAGAAGGAACATGAGGGACATCTTTCTACAGAAAGGGATAAAGACTTCCCCCACTCCTTCCTTCTTCCTGCCATGAGGTGGCCCTGGGATGTGGAAACAAAGGAGCCAGCTGGTGGCCCCCGGGCAGGAGGAGGGGTCTCTTCATCCTGGCCCAGCTAGTGGGAGTCTTCCCTCAGGCGGGCTCTCTCGGGCTGCAGGTCCATGCACAGGGGCTGGTCAGGGGCTGCACTTGCTGCTCTGCTGGGAAAGCTTGCTTTGCCTCACTGATCTCTATTCACCCACCAGGCTTTTACTGAGTGTCTACTCCATGCCAGATCTTGAGCTGGGTGCTGGGTGCTGGGTGCTGGGTGCTGGGTTCAAGGGAAGCACCAAGTCTAAGTGGATTGTGGGCTTTAGGTAGCCGTAGCTGATTTTTTTTGAGTACTTATGTGGCAGAAACCACACTAAGCACTTCACATGTAATTAACATGTAACTAATCTTCACTATTAACCTATGAAATCATTACTACTACTATGCCCATTTTATAGATAAGGAAACTGAAGCACAGACCAGCTAAGAAGTTTTTCTAAGGTCATAGAGTGTCAGGTGGTGCTCTGGGAAGCAGATGCCAAGATAAGTTAGAAATGCAAGAGATTTATTAGAATAAACCCCTGTGAAAGATAAATGGTGCATGGGGGAGGGGAACAGAAGCATCAGGGGAGTCCTCAAACTGCAATGCAGTCTTGACACTTGTGAAAGGAGGAGGAGGAAGAAAGATTGGGTAGGAGCACCTCAGACTACAGTGCATATCTGAGAAAATCTCAGTAGCCCAACAGTACAAGGACTGCCCGCAGAGGGTCCCACACTGAGCAGAGGTGTCCAGGCCCCAGCATCCCCACTGCACTCAGCCACTGGCTGGGAGATGCCCAGGCTGAGAGCAGCCTGGGCTCAAACACCATGAAGGGCCCCAGAGGTGTGGCAGCTGGAGGGCGTCAGCTAACTGCCCTCCTCGCAGCTCTTCCGCAAGTGCTTTCTTGACCGGAAGTCTGAGCAGCTGGCCTCCATGGCTGCCACACCAAGAAGCCATGGCTCAAACCAGGTCTTTTGCTGACTCCAGAACCCACACTCTTTTCCATTATGCTAGACTGATAGCTCATAGATGATTAGGTCTCTGAATGCTCTGTGCAAAACTTATCAGTCAGTCAGTCAACAAGCTTTGGAGCCCAAATGTGCACTCATCCTCATGTGTGTGAAGACAAAGCCTGGCCCCTGCCTAAAGGAGATTCTAGGCTGGGGAGGGTCACAGACTGACAAAAACAGGTGCTGAGATGAGCTGAACACAGTCCCTGCCTTCAGAGAGGTCACCTTCTAGACGGAAACAGCAACCAGACAATTCTAAGAGTGAAATGATGTGTGAGAAGGGGAGGCACAAGGAAGGAAGAGCCTTAGCCCAGTTCTGGAAGTGGTATGGAAGGCCTCCTGGAGGAACAGCCTTCTTAATGGACACCTGGAAGGTGACGAGGCACTGGGTGGAGGAAGAGGGGTGAATGTGGGAGAGGAGTGTGTGTGTTTCTCAGTGGGGCAGGGGGAGAGAGGGAGAGGAAAAAGCTGAAGAAACAGCACTTCTGGAGGGAGGAACAGCATCAGCAAGTGCCCACGGAAAGGTATGGTGTATTCTCAGAGCCACCAGTTGTTCTGGAAGGCTGTGGGGAAGGAAGGCAGCCAGGAAAAGTGGGGCGAGATAGCGAGCAGCCCATTAAGGCCTTGTCCCGAGGCGGCAGAGGGCGGTGCTGCAGCGAAGGGCTAAGACGTGTGGGGTGGATGCTCCCGGCAGCGAGGGCGACCAGTGAGAACGGGGCAATTCGGGAAGGTCCCCGAGGGGTTGAGAAGACTTGACAGGTTTTCAGCGAAAATGACTCCAATCAAGAGGAGTCCCCATGAGGGTTCACACAGCTATACTCCCCACAAGCAAGACCTCGACTTCATCAGAAGATGTGGGAAACGGTACTGGCGACTCTACTCCTTCTTCTCCAGCCTCCGAAGGGAAGTTTCTAAGGAATATTGGCTCTTTCTGGCGATGTTAATAATACCGTTGGTTAAAATGTCCCACCACTTCTGTTATTCCACCTCAAATACCCAATCACCTGTTTAATCCCTACATGGACTTCTTAATTAACTCCACATACAAGGCAGCCTCCTTCCAACCTGAATTGTAGTTCTCCAAATGTATTTTGTTTTATTTTTTTCTCCCTTTTAAAAAATTTAAAAAAAATTTTTTTAATTTTTGCAGGGCAAGGGGAGGTAATTAGGTTTACTGATTTATTTATTTTTTAATGGAGGTACTGGGGACTGAACCCAGGACCTTGTGTATGCTAAGCAAGCACTCTACCACTTAGTTATACCCTCCCTGCTCCAAGCATATTTTAGAGTTTAAGTAGCCATGGAACAAGCTCATCTCAAGGTTGTGGATGGTTAAGATTCCTCTGTGATCTTAATATTAACCATTCTCATCATTTATTGTTATGTAAAAAACACTCCAAACTCTGTGACATGAAACACTTACTACTACTACAACTAATTTTATTATTATTATTATTATTATTATTATT